TATACTCTTTGGAAGAAAGTTACTATGCACAGTCCACACTTAAGGACAAAGTTGGCTATTCTAGGCCTTTTTTCTTTCCACATAAATTTTAGAATCAGTTTGTCAATATCTACAAAATAGCTAGCTGGGATGTTGGTTGGGATTGCGTTGAATCTACAGATCAAGCTGGGAAAACTAACATCTTAACAATACTGAGTCTTCCAATCTATGAGCACAGCATATCTTTCCATTTATTTATGTCTTTGTTTTTCTTCTTCTCTGTTTTATGGTATCTGCATATAAGTCTCATACATATTTCGTTAGATTTTTCCTAAGCACTTAATTTGGGGGGTGTTATTATAAATAGTACTGTATTTCAAAGTCCAAGTTTTCATTTCTGGTATATAGGAAAGTAAGTGACTTTTGTATATTAACCTTGTATCCTGCAACACTGCTATAATTGCTTATTAGTTTCAGGAATTTTTTTTTTTAATGCTTTGGGATTTTCTACCTAGACAGTCATATCATCTGTGAATAAAAATCATTTATTTATTCCTTACCAGGCTGTATACTTTTATTTCCATTTCTTATCTTATTACATTAGCTAGGATTTCTAGTACAGTGCTGAATAGAAGTGGTAAGACAGGATGTCCTTAACTTGTTCTCAGTGTTATAGGGACATTGTCCATTTTCTCGCTATTAAGTATGCTGTTAGCTGCAGGTATTTTGTAGATGTTCTTTATCAAATTGAAGATATTTCCCTCTATTCCTAGTTTGCTAAAGTTTTTTATCATGAAGGTGTTATATAAACAACATTTCTACAAAAATAAAGAAAAAAATCATACCTCCTTAATAAATCAATTTGTTTTTCCTATTTTCTAGTTTTATTGATTTTAAATAAATAAAATAGGGCTTCCCTGGTGGCGCAGTGGTTGAAAGTCCGCCTGCCAATGCAGGGGACACAGGTTCGTGCCCCGGTCTGAGAAGATCCCACATGCCACTGAGCCGCTGGGCCCATGAGCCACAGCCACTGAGCCTGTGCATCTGAAGCCTGTGCTCCTCAACGGGAGAGGCCACAGCGGTGAGAGGCCTGCGTACCGCAAAAATAAATAAATAAATAAAAATTAAAAATAAATAAAATATACTTGTATAACAGGGGAGAGATTATACAGTGTGTAATTATATAAACATGGGTAGACATAGGTATACAATTGCCCCAGGCACACATAATATTATATATTTGGTGATTAGAATGTGACCTTACTTTTGTAATATTACTTTTTCCACTTAAATTTATATCATAGGCCATTTTCAATATTCATTCCTACACAGATTTCAAAATCATAGTTTTAAGTGTCTCCAAATTCAATCTCTTTAATTCACTCATTAATTCATTTCAAAGTATTTATTAACCATTCACTATACATCAGGTACTATGTTGATGACAGAGATACAAAAAATAAAACCCATTACTACTTTCGGGTACCTCACAGTCATAGAAACAAATTCAGAATATCGTGTGTTCTAAGTTGCCTTGATGGCAATATGAGCAGAAAGTTTTGGCAGCTTGGAGGTTGAATGGGGCATTTAACTCTGTGGAGAGAACAAGAAATATTTCACCAAAGAAGTGAAATTTGATGTGACTCTTGAATGATAGATACGAATTTTCCAAATGAAGATGCAGTACTGTAGTGTTACAAAAGTTTAAAGCTTTGAAAGAGTCTGGAAAGTTTCAACAACAATTTAATGACTCAGAAGCTTGAAATTAATTGAGGAGAGCACTAAGTGAAGATACAAAGGTGGATTGGGATAGATTGTGAAATATGGTGAATTTCAAAATAAGAAATTTGGTTTTCCAAATGGAATCACTCGAAGCCATTAAGTAGTGGGGTGAAAGGATGAGCTGTGAATTTAGCAGGATACTTAAGGAGTGGCATGGAGACAAATTCTGCATCATATTGAGATAACATAACTTGCCTATTGGGGGGGCATTTTACAATAAGTGGTTTCTAATTCATTGCTATTTTAAATAACACAAAATGAATATCTTTATGCATTTGTTTTTATATTATTTTTCAGTTTTCCTTACAACAAATTCTTGTGAATAAGATAAAAACATCTCATTTAGCTGTTTTTGAAATGAATTTTTATGTATTTCATTAGTTTGTTATGCATTTTGTGAAATTTACTTCCTTTTTCTATATATATCTTTCTCAATATAATTCAACATACATCTATTAAGTATCTACTAAGGGCTATTTATAATTTTATATGCTGTGGGGAAGATCATGCATACAAGTCAAGGGGCTTACAATCTAGCTGGGGAGATAAAGAATAGACTCTAAGACATTATGGAGGTCTTTGAATCCTAAGCTGAAAAATATAAACTAGAGAAAATGGGGCAGCATCCAAAATTTTAATTAGGGCAGAGATACAACCATACCCTAGAAAGAATACTTTGGTTGAAATAGATAGGTAGATTAGAAAAGACTTGTGAAAACATTATTAGTAGCCAAAGGGAATGAGATCATGAAGTATGGGGCAGAGGAATTGGAATGATCTATTCAGGATTCTGAAATTGAAAATTTCTTCTCTAAAAATGGAAGGAAAATCATCTCTAATGTGGCCAAAACCAATAGACACTTTCCTTTGGGGCCATTTAATGTTCAGTAACATCCAAATATCTTTTTCTGGAATAAAAAGAGAAGAGGGGGTCCAAGTTGGTTAAGGTAATTTTCCATAATCAAAACAATTTTTAAAACTTCTAATAGAGTTGAAAAGTCATTGTTTATGATATTTCAGTGACAGACTAATATAACAATCTGGGTAGATATGGCGCTATTTTATGTGATCACTACAACACCCCCATGAGGTAGTTATTAGAAGTTTTTGAGGAAGCAAAGAAGATAACCTTGATTGGGAAGGAACAGTGAACTGGGGTTTAATGTCAGCTAGAGCAATGCTTCTCAGCTTTCAGATGCATCTGAATCACTTGAGGGTTTTGCTAAAAGGCAGATTCTGATGCAGTAGGTCTGGGATGGGGCCTGAGAGTCTGCATTTCTACCAGTCTCCCAAGTGATGTCCCTACAGCTAGTCCACAGATCATACTTTAGGTAGCAAGGATCTGGAGCAGTGGTTCTCAAATTACAGTGTATTTTGTCGGGCATTAAATGGTTCTGAGACCAATGCCAATGTGTGTGTATGTGCGTGGGCAGGGGGTGGTGTGCAGATACCAGCAAACAGTTCTCAAACACTAGCAGGATGTTCAAGAATTCAACTCAGTTCTGATGCTTACCTACCCAGATATAACATCAGATTCCACAAATTGAGGGATCAGTCCTACAGGACTGCCTCCTCGAACCCACTTCAGACACCAGTCATAAGCCCTGGTTATTACCTGGGCTTCTGACCAACCAGCTACAGATTGGAGGTTCCAACAACCCCCTCCTTGGATTTGGACTTCAGATGCCATTCTCAAGGCCAGGTTGTTACCTATGCTTCTAACCAACTGACTATAAAGCAGAAATTCCCACAACCCCTTCCTTGGGTTTGATTAATTTGCTAAAGCAGCTCACAAAACACAGGAAACCCATTTACTCACTAGATTACTGGTTTCTTATAAAAGAATATAACTCAGGAACAACAAAATGGAAGAGATGCACAGGGGAAAGCACACTGAGCTTCCATGCCCTCTCAGGCACACCGCTCTCCCCTAATCTCTTCAGTTCACCATCCCGGGAGCTCACTGTACCCCACACTTTTGGATTTTTATGGAGACTTTATGAAATAGGCATGAATGATTGATTAAACCACTGGGCATTGCTATTGATTCAACTTCCAGCCCCTGTCACCTCCCCAGAGGTCAGGGGATAGTAACTGAAAGTTACAACCCTCTTATTACAGGGTTTGCTCCATTGGTAACCAGACCCCATCCTTAGTTGCTTTCTAAAAGTCAGCATATTAACATAACAAAGGGCACTTTTTATCACTCTCAACAGTTAGGAAATTAGGAGAGTATTGGGAGCTCTGAGCCAGGAACTGTGGAGAAAGACCAAATATATATGAGAAATATATTTTGACCATCTGGATAACCAAATATATATTTCCCATAAATCACAATATTGCAGGCATTTAACTTATTTCTTTTTTATGTTATAAATAATGCTGTCATTCACATCCTTTAACATAAATCTTTGTCTACAATGCTGAATCTTTCTTTAAAAGGCTAAGTTGCAAGGGTTTCATATACTTGCCACATTGCTGTCCAGAAAACACTGTACTAAGATCTCATTTCACCTCATTTTTGCTAACACTGAGTAACTGTCTTTTAAATTAGTAAAAACGAGGTAAAATGGGAACACATAGTGGACAGGATGTAAGCTAGTACAGTGTTTCCTGGAGAACAATGTGGCAAGTGTATGAAACCCTTGAAACTTCCCAAGGCTTTGAAATACATATACTATTTAAAAGACTATTACTCAGATGGGCAGTTCTCACTTGGAGTCTTATGTCATGGCAGCCAGGTGACAGCTGGGACTGGACGTGTGCTATGACCTCCCTGCTCACATATTTAGAACATCAGCTGGGATAACTAGACCTTCTGGGGGCTGGCTGCACATCTCTCTATCCCAAACATGCTCTTCACGTGGCCAGCTCAGGCTTCCTCACAGGATGGTGGTCTCAGGGTAGCTGGACTTCTTACGTGGCTGCTGACTTCCACCAGAGCAAGCTTTCTAAGAGACCCAGACAGAAGCTGTAAGACTACCTATCACTTAGTCTTGGAAGCCATTCAGTATCATTCCAACTGCATGCTGTTGGTCAAAAGCAAGCCATGAAGACAACTTAGATTCAAGGGGAAGAGACTGCACGAGGGCACAAATACTGGGAGATGTGAAGGGCTGTGGGGAGGGGACTTTTTTAACTGACATTTTTTTCAGAAAACATTTTCAAATGTTTGTTGGCTGCTTATAAACCATGACGTTAATTCTCAAGGTGCTATGAATGCTTTTTATTTACTGCAGGAAGAACCTGAAGAAGGAAGGGCCAGTATTTACAAGTCAGTGGTCATCAACACTTCTAAGGAGATGATGTGCTTCAGTGACTATCCCGTCCCAGATCACTATCCTAACTTCATGCACAACTCCCAGGTCCTGGAGTATTTCAGGATGTATGCCAATGAATTTGACCTTCTAAAGTACATTCGATTTAAGGTAGGGAATTTCGTGGGTATCTCTGTGTTCTGAGTTTCAAGTTAAGTGAATAACTGGTCTTATTTACCAGTGCTTATGTATACATTGGTTTGATATGCTCATGTATCTATCCTATCCAGACAGATTCTACTCTATGTCTTCTCTATGTCTGAAAATATTCATGGAAAGGTCCCTCTTCTATGTATTTTGACTGCAGATCCAGGAAGCCCCCTTCATTTCATTGCCTTCATTCTATATCATTTGATTACAATAAAACAATGAGGGGAACTGACAGGTATGGGAACTTTAAAACCTTCTGTTTCCACAACTTGCTGCTTAGCCCTTTTATACTTTCTGAAGTACTTTCCAGTGCATTATTTATGTGACCACAACAACCCAGTGAAGTAGGTTTTGAAAACTTATGAGGGAACAAATAAGTTAAGTCTGGCGTAGAGCGAGGAACACTGAATTGGGAAGCAAAAACTTGAGTTCTAGTCTTTGCTCTACCACTAACCAACTTGTGACTTCAGACAAGTAAGTTCCTCAACGCCGATGTGTCTTCACTTTATTTGTAAAACAAGATGACTGTACTAGATCACTTCACTGGTTCCTTCCTGCTGTAAAGTCTTCTGTGATATTCCTATCATTCTAAACCATGACTATAAAAGAATCAATACTCTGACAGCTGGCAAAAAGCCCAAATCTTCTACCTTCTGAGCATTCTACTAAATCATGACTCTTTCTCTTTAACAACAAAATTAAAATGGCAATATCCAGTGACGACTTCCAAAGTCAGTCATTTACAGCCTAGTGGTGCTTCTCTTCACTTCTTTAAGCGCTTATTGAACAGGTTTGTTACTATACTAAGCAGTGAAGACACAAAAACAAAAAATTAGTGATTTCACAGTCTAGTTAAGGAGATAGAAAAATGAAATTTAATTGTAAACATAATTATTAAAAATAAAGAGTTACAGAGTGATAAAGGCCACTGAAATCTATTCATTGCAGGTCAGAGGGGGGACACTTAACCTATCAGGGCATGAGGCACCAGGCACCAGGGAAATTTTCTTAGAGGAGATAATACCAAGCTAAATGTTGAAGGGTGAGTATCTCCAAATGAAGAAAGAATAAAAGGATGATCCAGGCAGAAGCACCAGCCTGTGCAAAAGTAAGAACGTGATAGAGAAGAACAATAAATAGTATAGGATGGCTCGGGTATATAAGAGGGGTATCTCTATTAGTCAACCAAGACATTAGGGTCATAAACCCTAGAAGCACACATGAACACATTCTTAATGTTTCCTTAACCTGGGTAGAGTAACCCATATTTATTATTATTTTTTAAAGCTAAAAATTGTGCCACTGACTATCCCACCTCACACCTTCTTTCTTTATAGTTACTTGTAAAATGGGCATTTATGGGCGTCAGAGAGGTTCATTTACATAAAATATGAGCCACTGAGATGTTTCTCTACTCTGTTAGGAAAGGGAGCCCTCTAGCTCAGTCACAAGTTTAAGGCCAGACAGTGAGAACGGGACTTGAGGTAAGAAGGCATCAGAGGGTCTCAGGATGTCTCGGGGTATGGGGAGGAATAGGCATTTCGTGCATGGAGTGTCTCAGAAGCACAAGAGAAGCCCAAACTTTATTCAAGTATCACATTGCCCTAGGTATGGTCCACGAGAACTAGTAATTTGCACTTTTCTAGAAGCAGAGGAAAGTGCAACATTAGCCTGCCAACTCTGTTTTATTTAGCTTGCCTCATGGAAGTTTTCTCACTCTGACCACAGCCCCAAACAAAAAAGTTCTGATTTGTGGAGTATGAAAATCAAATACCCCTGCATGAGGCCTGTTATGTGGTAGCAGCCCTTTGTTTACCCTCTGCAAGGAGAGTCCTGTCAGGGAAGGTGTCCACTATTTAGGCTGTGGTTATAGTGCCCTGTGGCTACCCCTTTTCTTTACAGACCACCATGTGCAGTGTGAAGAAGCAGCCTGATTTCTCCACTTCAGGCCAATGGGAGGTGGTCACGGAATCTGAAGGGAAAAAGGAGGTGAATGTCTTCGATGGAGTTATGGTTTGCACTGGCCATCACACCAATGCTCACTTACCCTTGGAAAGCTTCCCTGGTAAGTAGCCTACAAGGAAGGAAGACACTGGAACAATGCTTGTGACCTGATCCCTAAAGAATGGGAGGATTGTTGTCTGAGTGATTCCTACCTTGGGATGAAATAAGGCTTATCCTAATTCTGCATATTCTCCTGAAACATGTTGGGGTAACTTGTATTAATGCTATTTAGGGCGCAGAGATAACAGTAATTTGGGGGACTAGAGGAAAATTAGAAGGCTCTATATTTAGTTTCACAATGATTTTAGTTTTCCTAGGGATAATAAGAGTTGATCTGCATTAGGTTGAATGAAGGCTTTTTTAGCAATTGAAGTAACAAACAGAAATATTGAGTTTCTAAGTAAGAAAATAAAGAAAGCTTAAAGAAAGAGTTTAATTACAGTCTTTGGCCTGGATTTTCATTTTGAGGGGAAAAAACTACTCTATGCATACTCTAGAGTATGTAAAAACATATATAATCTCATTGGAATGGAAGTAGGTATTTAGAGAAGATGAAAAGAGGGGGTGGGGGATGGGCAAAATAGGTGAAGGGGATTAAGAGATACAAACTACCAGTTATAAAATAAATCAGTCACAGGGTTGTAATATACAGCACAAGGAATATAGTCAAAAGCCTGTAACATTGTAATAACTTTGTATGTTGCATAATCTATAAAAATATCAAGTTCCTATGTTGTACATCTGAAACTGCTATAATAAGTCAACTACACTTCAATTTAAAAAAACAGAGGATGAAAAGGCAAAAGAGAATGGAGATTTTCTGAAGCAGTTTGGATTTGTGAGTCCACAGGTCCAAAATACTACCAGATCCTGAATTAAGCAGACTACTTATGAAAAGGAAATCACAAGGTTCCACTGTGAGGTGATGGGAAAAGAAAACAGGCAAAAATATTCAGAAAGGCAACAGTGCACCTGAGTAAAAGGAGAACATACAGAGAATATATGCATAAACTCTACACACTGCAAAAAAAAATGAATGATTTAACAAATTATATCAGATAAACCATCACCCAGGAATTATTTTCCCTTCTCTTGCAGGAATTGAGAAGTTCAAAGGACAGTACTTCCATAGTCGAGATTATAAGAATCCAGAGAGTTTCACTGGAAAGAGAGTCATTATAATTGGCATTGGGAATTCTGGAAGCGATCTGGCTGTGGAAGTTATCCACACAGCCAAGCAGGTTTGAATCAGTAAATTATTTACTTTGCTTCACCAAGGAAGCTGCAGGTGGACCCAGCAGAGTGTATGGATACCTGCACACAGCCCATCAGTGCCAATGGCAAATGCAGGGCTTGGTTTCACTGCCTCAGTTGGCAACATTTTGATTGATGATGTGATGGAGCCAAGGTTACAAGTTAGATTCCCATCATTCACTTGGCCTCACACTAAGGAATTTGGTCATGATCACAAACTGTGCTCATAATCTCACTCAGCTGTCTCTTCAGAGTGTGCCTCTGGCTTTTAAGACCAGGTGATTGCCGGAAGAGCTTGTTAGAATGCAGCATTCAGAGTGTGGATCACCTGTTGGCCAGCAGAAGTGCTATGCTCTTATCTGAAGGAAAATGTACTCAGTCATTGAAAGCTTTTCACTCCTAGGATGGTGGGGGAATTGTCTTCTTTACTCCCCAAATGGAAAAAAGAAGCAATCTAATCCTCCTAAAGACAACAATTCCACTACAAGGCATATACCGTGAAAAAACCATAGTTCAAAAAGAGTCATGTACCACAATGTTCATTGCAGCACTATTTACAATAGCCAGGACATGGAAGCAACCTAGGTGTCTATCGACAGATGAATGGATAAAGAAATGTGTCACATATATACAATGGAATATTACTCACCATAAAGAGAAATGAAATTGAGTCATTTGTAGTGAGATGGATGGACCTAGGGTCTGTCATACAGAGTGAAGTAAGTCAGAAAGAAAAACAAATACCATATGCTAACTCATATATATGGAATCTAAAAAATAAAAAATGGTACTAATGAACCTAGTTGCAGGGCAGGAATAAAGATGTAGACATAGAGAATGGACTTGAGTACACCGGGTGGGAGGGGGAAGCTGGGGCGAAGTGAGAGTAACATTGACATATATACACTACTGAATGTAAAACAGATAGCTAGTGGGAAGCAGCAGCATATCACAGGGAGACCAGCTCCGTGCTTTGTGACCACCTAGAGGGATGGGATAGGGAGGATGGGAGGGAGGCTCAAGACGGAGGGGATATGGGGACATACTTATGCATATGGCTGATTCACTTTTGTGTACAACAGAAACTAACACAGTATTGTGAAGCAATTATACTCCAATAAAGATCTATTAAAAATAAATAAATAAATGAAAGTATCTTCTAAAAAAAAAAAAGACATGTTCTCTGAACGAGGAAACAGTTCAACGAACAGTACCAATGAATTAATAAAGAATTGCACCACTGGATAACGTACACATTCTTATACATTCCTATCTATCTACCTATACAATTTATAGTGATTTTTTGTTTGTTTGGTTGGGGTTTTTTTTATGAATTGGCTGCCTCTCACAGGCAGGAAATGGACCTCTTCCTCCATAATGTTTTTAGTTAAGAGAAGTAAAAGTTATGGTTGTACTATGAGAAATAATTTGCAAATCAACTCTCAAAATGCGTTTCATGAGCCTCTTAAGACCTGTGATTAACCTCGAATGAAGCATTTCAGTGATTTCTCATTGACTTATGAACATACATAGTAATTCCCAAGGCTAAAATGAAAAGAACACATGGCAAAACACAGAAGGCTATTTCTTGAGTGTTGAATTTATCTCATGTTTTAAGAGGGACACACCAGGATAGTTACTAGAGTGTGCCCAGAGAAGGGTAACCAATGTGGCAGAAAATGTGAAACCTGTTATATGGGGAACTGTTAAGGCTTTAAGGCTGATAATGAAAAGACTTAAAGAAGTTATGACAGTTGTTCTCAAATGGTTCAAACGCTGTCATTTGTTAATGCTAGACTCCTTGGCCCCAGAAGGCAGAGCTAAGTCCACTGGTGCCAGTTGCATGGAGCCAGGTTCTGGGGTCAATGAAAAGAATAATGTTCCAGCAAGTAGAGCAGCCAAACAATTAAATCATCTCCTCAGGTGATGAGATCCCCATCACCAGAGATATTTAAGGAGGAATGAGATAACCACTTGAGAGTACTTGTAGAGAGGATTGTATTAGGTAAGATATATTCCCATTCTAAAATTACACATTCCAGAATTTTGTGGAGTAACACTTTAGAGTTGGGTGTGGCTAAAGTTTTCTACATAGCATAGTGCCTGTAAATCCAGGCATAAAGCTAATCATTTAAATTGAGAGTTGTCTAGGTCAACTTAAATACTATTCTACCTTTGTCTAGCCATGTCCTTGGTGTTAAATTCCTGCTACTGGAACTGTTCATTGGTGCTTAAATTTATCTGTTAAGATTGGGTATTATGAGTTGCCCTTGACCTTACCCCTCACTCTCAGTAAATAAAAATTTAGAAGGTAAGGCGTATCTTCCATGGAACTGTAGGCATACAAGAGGACTGAGAGTTTACTTTTACTTCCTTCTCCCTGTGGTATAAAGCCTCTTTGTTATTAAGAGTACAAGTACAGGTGTGTTTCCCATATTCCCCCCGCCCTTTTACTTTGTACCTCATTTTCCGTATACTTTTAAGGCCATTTATCATTTCCTCATGTCCATATTTCATTTCCCAATTGAAAGACTATGTTAGGGAGGAGGCAGGTATTGGTTGGAAAGCAGATTAGGAGAAATATCTTCCAAAGACAAAGTAGAAAAGAGTAAACTACTGAGGTTAATATGATTATATTCTGGTGGTGGTAGGGTAAGGTGATCAAGTGAAGGTGTAACCTCCTTGGTACAGACAACTAGCCTGTATTCCTTTGAATTTTCCATAGCATGGTAATTGTTAATAGGGTTAGTGTTCATAATGAGGTAATTTTAATTTTACACTTAAAATTTTGATTTTTCTCTTTAGGGATAAAGACATTGCCTTCACAAAATGAAATGATAAAAGAAATAGCTAAGGCTAGAGAGGATATGGCCAAAAGGTAAGAATTCTCCTAGGAAGATAGGTGGTTATTTTTTCCCACTTCTTTCTTAATAATAGCAATGTTGTACTGTATTTATTGTCCTCGTGTCTGTTTAAGGATTTAGAGTATATTTTGAAGGAAAAGGAAATAATAGTTTGTGACAATAGAATAGAGAAATACCACCAAGTGGTTTGAATATGGATGGGAAAGGAGAGAAAAGCTTAAGAAAATTCTATGTTTAGGGTCTAAGAGAAAAGTCAAGTAGGAAAAAGCACATGGAGAGAAAACCAGGCATATTATTTTGGCAAGGATTACTTGAAGGGCTATTAGAGCTGCCAGAGAAAGGAAAGGCAGTGATGAATTAATGAGAGGTAGATATGGTTAAATTACAAATCTGTAGGTAGATTTACAAATCTGCAGAGGCCACTTTGCTGGCTGTCATGTGACAACATACTCAGGTCACATTGGCTCTTGGTATGAGTAATCTATAGAATCTGGGAAGGTGGTACCATCAGCCAGTATTTTAGTGCTTGGGTGGACACATTTAGCAATCTGAATTTCAGAACTTGTGCTTATTCACTTGGTGATCTTTATTGAACAATGTTGATATTGATGAAGTTCCTAAATTTTTGTGGAAAAGTCAGAGGCACAATCATCCCATGCCCAAAGATGTGGTTTTCTTCAATTGATTATACCAGCATAACTCTCCCTTCTGCAAAGAGGAGAAAGACATTTTTTATTTAACCCTGATACCCTTTCTAGGTGCTCTCCTATTTTCCTCCTTCCTTTCACTGCCAAACTCCTACAATAAATATTCTACATTATATATATTGACTTGTAATACTTTCCTCTTTGTTCTCAGCTTATCTATTTCTTCCACATCCTTCAAGGACTTATCATAGCTCTATTTTAACTACCGTCTTCTACATTTTTATTTAGCAGTCTAAAACCACATGATTTACCAAAAGTCTTACATTTTTCTCTGTTTCATATGCATCTATCTTATCTAGTCCAGTGGATTATAAGGCCCTTAAGGATAAAGACAGTGTCTTTCTTCTCTATTTTCTGCAGCTCCTAGCCCAATATTGAGCCAAAAGCAGATACTAAGAAAGCATTGATTGATTGATTGATTGACTGAATTCTTAATAGGCCAGGGTTTCCCTCTTCTCTGCTTCAGGTATGTGGACAGTGAACCACATAACATTCAGGGAGGCTAATTCGAAGATGTCAGTTATGTAATAAATTAGGATTGATGATAACAAAATATAGAGGGTATTCTGCTTATAACAGTTCTTCTTATGTCAGACATTGTAGTTACGAAAAACAAAGCAAATAAAATGAAAACCAGGGACTCCAGTTGACGTCCAAGTGCTGCTGTTGATTCTGTTTTCTCACTCAGAGAACTTTTGCTCTGTTCTTGTCTTTCCAAGAAGTAAACTAAGTGTTAGTTGTTGGGCACACTGAATTTCATGAAAAAAGCTACTGGATGTACCGGCCAAGTGTGTTCATAAATAAGCTACGGTGTAATACAGTTTGGGATTGCTGCCTATTGCTTAACCAAAGAATAAATTTGAACATCTGAAAGAACAACATTAGAAATTTTTATCTCTCCCAAGGTACAATAAGTACGAGAACCAGAAATGTGAGAATGACAACTTCCTCTTAATCATATAACTATTTGTACAATTCCCTGCTATTTTGCCTAATTACACCTGTGGAAATGCTTTTTGAGTATTAGAAGGTCTTTTTTCTTCCATAATCCTTGTGATACTGGGGATTTATCCTCTATTAAAATGGACCTACTATCTTTTACTCTGCAGACTATTCTGGTTCAAAAGTAAATTGAAAGCCGCTTCTTTTTCATTTCCTTCTTTTAACATATAAATTTGCCTCTTTCAGCATGGAAGTTTTTTGAATTAACAGTCTTTGATAATATAATTCCTAGTTATCACTAATAAGTACCCCAGTTTCCTCTTTAAATAAAAGGCATGTAATTCTAAGTTCACTGATGCTCTCATTTTACTTATGAAAGGTTACCAAAAAAAAAAATCATTGGTTAAATTCTAAACCAAGGTAATAGTAGGATGTGAATAGGAAAGTGAACTCTCAACAACTCAAGATACAAAGCCCTAGTTACGGATGAATGTGTATTAATATTCATCAATTTACAACATCTTGCTTCTGTAATTATATTGAGAGGTTATATCATTTTCCCAATTATATTATAGAAGAAAAAAAAAATGCTTTCTTGTAGTGCCAGAAAGTAAGGAAGTGCTCAAAAAGCAAACTGATGAGGGTATGTCACAGGGACACAGGAACCAACTGAAAGTGGTTCCAAAGGCCAAAGCTGGAACAATTTGAACAACAATATAAATAACCTAGTATTGGACTATAATATAAAGTATAAAAAATACCCATGAGTCAATACTGATATAAATAAGTGATAGAATAATAAGAGGGGTAGAATAGAGAAAACTCCCATACGGAAGAATTTCAAACAACTTACATAAATACTCTGCCCTCCAGGAGTTGGAGCATAACTCTCCATTCCTTAAGTGTA